CCTGATGGTTGTGGATCAAACCTGAAATCCAGGTATGTAGCTTGGCCAGGAAGAGACTCTGACATGCTTTGATACGTAGGCCAATGCTCTAATCACTGAGCAACAACAGCTAAAGCCTTATATTTACTTTTTATTTAAATTGTTGAAAGTACTACAGATGTCCCCCTTTGTCCCCAGTGACCCCCTCATCCTCGCTCCCACTCCCCCTTATATTTACTTTAATTGCACTGCTGAACTCTATACAAGGGAAGCCGAAAACCTTTTCTCTGTGTGTGTGACGGAAGGCGTGTAACTATGTATCGACTGTATAAAACTGCAGGTTTGCCTAACACCTTACATTGTTTACTAGAGCTCATTATTGTATAGTATGACCAGCTTGTGAAGCTGTAGAAAGATGGATCGCTTTAACTGTGGCATTTCCCAGTGTGTCCGCATGAAGTAGTTGCTCACAGTTAATTACCCCCGAGAACTGAAGTGTGTGCGGTGGGGAGCAATGCGTGGGCGGTCTCTTCATTAGCGTGGTGCTTTCTTCATCCTCATTCTACTATCTCATGCTTCCGTAACCGAAATAACAGCTTTTGTTTTGGTTTGCACTGTTATACTGTATGATTTATTTTTACTTTTTCCCTGAAGTATTATAAAAGAACAGTCTTCTGACGGTGAAAGTAGTAAATTATTATAATATTTCCCATCGATTTTTAGTAGTTGGTACTATTCACTGAACACTTACTAGTGCTTGAGACACTGTGATTTGCAATGATCTCATATAATTTTTTACAGAGGGACAATTGAGGTTCAGGTAGATTAACTTGTTTAAAAATAAGAGTGGGGGCTAGGTTTTGGATCAATTTTCTAATGTACTGCTGAATTCAATTTGCTGGTATTGTGTTTTAGATTTTTTTCATCTATGTTTAGGAAGGTTCTTGGCCTATAATTGTTCTTTCTCATGCTGTCCTTTTTAGATTTTGGTGCCTCTGTTATGTTGCTCTAATAAAAATGTTGGGGTGGTATTCCTCCTTTTTTCTATTTTTTGGAAATTTAGGTAAGATTGGTGTTATTCTTCCTAAGGGTTTGGGCCAAATTTGTTCCTCTAGTCACCTGAGTCGAAGTGTTCTCTGTGAGACAGGTTTAAATTTTTAAGATTTTCGTTAGGGGACTATTTATGTTTTTCTATTTTGTTTGTCAGTTTTGGAACATTACATTTTTAAAAAGAATGTATTCATTTTAGCTGATATTAAAAATATTTGGTATCAAGTTAATCTATGTTCCTATTTTTTAATGTCTGTGGTATCAGCATAAGGTCTCCTGTTTCATTTTTGACTTTGGTTAATTGTACATCTACTCAATTAGACTTGCAGAGATTTTTAGTTTTGTTAGCTTTTCAGAAGAATTCTTTTGAGGTTATTTTATTAGTATTTTTATCTATTTTCTTTCTTTTTCCTCTTTGGTCTAAATTGCTGGGGGATTCCCCCCAAATTTTTGAGATGGATATTTAAGTTATTATCTCAGCCCTTTACCTTTTTAATATATCATTTAAGCCTAAAAATTGCTACCTAAACATTAGTAGCTGCATCCCAGTGGTTATGGTATATGTTTCATTATCATTCACTTAAAAAATATTTTCTAATTTTTATTCTGGTGTCTTTTTTGAATAATGAGTGACATAGAATTGTATTGCTTAATTTTCAAACATACGGAGATTTTCTTTCTTCTTCTTTTTTTTTTTTAATCCTCACCCGAGGACATTTTTCCAGTTTTTGTTCAGATAGAGTGGGAGGGAGAGAGAGAGAGAGAGAAACATTGACATGAAAGGGACACATGGAGTGGCTGCCACCCGCACGACCAACCAGGGCCGGGGACAAACTGCAACCGAGGTACGTGCCCTTAGCGGGAACCGAACCCGGGTCTCTCCGGACCGCAGGCCGACGCTCTAACCGCTGAGCCAATCTGGCCAGGGCTCTTCTTTTTTTAAATGTTAATCCTCACTCGAGGATATTTTTCCACTGATTTTTTATTTTTTTATTTTTTAGATAGAGCGGAAAGGAGGGAGGGAGAAAGAGAAACATCAATGTGAGAGAAACATATCAATTGATTGCCTCCCACATGACCCTGACCAGGGCTGGAGATGGAAACTGCAACCCAGGTACACACCCTTAATCAGTACTTGAACCCTTGACTCTTTGTCCCCGGGTGATGCTCTCACTGCTGAGCTAAACGGGCCAGGCCATCTTTAAAATTCTTGATTATTATAGTACGCACAACTATCTAAGCACCATTAAAATCATATCACATCAAAGGTCCCATGAAATTTTGTTCCTGATATGTTGACAGGTTCGCACATTGTAAAAATGATGTGAGATAATGACAGAAGAGGTGATTAGAACCAGCTCTTCTGCTGGAGACTAGAAAGATGGCAACATGTATGCATATTAAAGTACAAACTGGCAATTTGTACTTCTTATTCCTGTTCACCATTTTCACCCGTTCGCCCAGATCTGAGGTTTATAATTTATTTAAATTCAAACCAGAAATGATTTGGGCAATTGCATTCACATGTTCTGTCTAGAGCTAATTGTGTCAAGATTGTGGCAGAAATATAAATTATAAGTGTGATTAAAAATGTATAATATGTTATTTATAAAAGCTGTGCATTATGACTACAGCTACAGAAATATTCAAAGAGCCCTGGCCAGGTTGGCTCAGTGATTAGAGCGTCTGCCCATGGACCAAAGGGTCTCGGGTTCAATTCCCAGTCAAGGGCATGTACCTGGGTTGGAAATTCGATCCCTGGCCCCCGGGGGCATCTAATTGATGTGTCTCTCTCATATCAATGTTTCTCTCCCCCCCGCTTTTCCTTCCACTCTGTCTAAAAATCAATGGAAAAATATCCTCAGGGATTGAACCTGCAACCTAGGTATGTGACCTTGCCCAGGGAATTGAACCCATGACCCTTAGTGGGCAGGCCAGACTCTAACCACTAAGCCACACTGGCCAGGGCAAGTAATTGTGATTTTGGTTCAATATACAAACCAATGGGTCATGGAATGTTCTTGCCTATAGCACAACCAGAAAAATGTTAGCCTGAGTGTTTGAAGGGGATAACCAGACCCTCATCTGGGCCATACCAGTCTCAACAAAGAGCTCTTCTGATGTCTCATGTGAGCATCAGTATTTTCTAGTGGGCCCTCTAAAATAAAGTATTTGCGAATTGCAGCTCTGAGTTATTCGGGGGTTATTATTTATAATCCAGTTATGAAGAGGAGCTAATATTTGCTGAAAGTAACTTTTTCTCCTTTTGTGGTCTATTTTTGCCACTTTTAAGTTGTGATTTTAAATCTTCTTATATGCCTTTGGTAGAAAGCCTGTGTTTGTTTTCTTTAATAGAAATGATCTACTTCAACCCAAGTCAAAGTGGACCTTAAAGATTCGGGGGAGGGGAGAAGCATATGGGAAGCAGGTCCCTGTTGTAACTGAGATACAGAGCAAGGAGTTGGTCCTGGTGGGTTTGACTTAGCGGTTAGAGCGCCGGCCCAGGGACCAAAGAGTCGAGGGATGATTCTGGTCAAGGGTACGTACCTCGGTTTTGGTTTGTCCCTGGCTCTGGCCGGGGTTGTGCGAGAGGCAACCAATTGATGTGTCTCCCGCATCGATATTTCTCTCTCTCTCTCCCTCCTTTCCTGCCTTCCTCCCTCCCACCTATCAGAAGATAAATGGCAAAATATCCTCGGGTGACAATTTAAAAGAAAACAAAACAACAAAAACGTAAACTATGATTTGACTTGTTGAAAGACACTTGTATTGATCTTGACCATTGTAATTCCTTTATACTCCCTCTGTGTCTATTATAATATCTTAAGGAAAACAAGGGGGTACAGGGGCACAGGATATGGGAACTGGTAGCAAGGAGCTTATACATTGCCAGGGAAAATCACAGATACATTCCTGGAATGTAAACAGGAATGCAACAGAGAAAAAGACATCCATGGATAGTTGAGGACATGCCATGGGGCAATTATTCATTGATTGCAGAACTTGTGACCATCAGCACAAGTACTGATGCCAAGGAAGCTCTGGTACTCCCGTGGCGCCCTACAATGAGACCTGCACCTTGGGGGTTAAGAATGTTTATTCCGAAGTCCGAAGGAGAGGTTTCTAAGGCGCGATGAGCCTCCCTGCGGCTCCTCTGAGATCCCCCCTCGCTCCTTGGCACGCGGGGTGGTCGTGAGCCCTCTCGTGCTGTCCGGGTTCTGGGTCTGCCACGGGAAGAACCGTCTTTGCCGGAAGATCCCTGCCCAGCTCCAGTTCTTCCGTTCTTGGCAGGTTCACTTACTTTTTATGGTTTCCCTCCGAACATTTCCCAACCTGGTCCCAAGATAAGTTGGTTTCCTGGGCCTTTTGTGTCGAAGGCAAGGAAGCTGTTATGTCCGGGGGTGCCCAAGGACAGCCTGTCCTTTGACCGGGCCTCAAGTGTTTAAACAGATTGTACAGGGACATCATTTCAAATGGATTACAGATGCTAGTCCAGGGAGTTCGCCTGTTAAATGTCTGGGCTTTCTGATTTTATAATTCCCTGCAGGCCCGCATGGCACCGTACAGCCAAAGAAACTTAGATTTTACTAGAAAAAAGAAATTGAGCTAAGCATAGTTGAGACAATACAATGACTGGGTGAAGGAATGCATTATGATTCCACATTAAATAGGATTAACTGCGGTTTTAATGTTTTATATATGTGAATTTATATATGTACAGGGTGGGCAAAAGTAGGTTTACAGTTGTGATACAAATAAATGAAACACTAATAAATAAATAATAATACAAGCACACGCTCTGTGTTTTATGTATTCACAACTGTAAACCTACTTTTGCCAACCCCTGTGTACACACACTCCCACATGTATACTTATGTTAGAAATGATGCTGTAATATATCAGTCAAGATGATTTTGTTTTTTGCGTGACTTAATTAATAGCTTTAAAATTTTTTTTATTTTTAAATATAGCAAGATCAACTTTACACCTGGGCTGCTGTTAGTCAACCCACACACTCCCTGGATTACACGGAAGGACAGTTCCCCGGGCGAGTCCCATCCGTGTGGCCACCATCTAAGCCTCCTGATGAAGACCACAGGCCCAAGGACGTTGGAACAGGTAGGCCCCTGGCAACGGTGAACGGTGCGGGTGTGTGACGCAGGGCTTGCTGGGCAGTGAGTCTGCATTTCTCTTCAGGGTGTTTCTTGGATGATAATCTGTAGATGGCAGGAGGCTTGTTTGATTGAAAATCCTAATGCTCCACCTTCAAGGCTGCCGAGTTGGAATTTGGGGGAACTGGACTGGAATTGTCCAGTTATTCCTGTCTGTGTGAAAGTTCGAGAACCATGGCATCCGGCTGTAGACGCCCCCCGAGCTGAGGGAGCATCAGGGGGACATTTCTATGATCTTTCTCCTGTTGCTGCTTCTCCAGGCTTTTCTGAGTCCTTTCCGTTACCTTCAGAGGCAGGACAAGACGGAGTTATACGCTTTGCTAAATCTAAAATTTAAGTCATCTTCGAAAATTTTACAGCATTCAGATGTACTGTTTACTTATCTTTGCACATTTTATGGTCTTAAAGTATTTTGTGTTAATTGGCCAGGAAGGTAGCATGAGATTAACATCAATTTAGGATCGAGCCCCAAACCAGGAGAGCACAAATTCTATTTGTTATATAGAAGTAAGAATTATATTTGTGTTAAAACATTTTATTGAATTTGGTTGTTTTTTATCTTTTTATTTTTTCACTTTGGTATAATAAAGTCCCAGTGTATTCCTGGTGGACTGATCAGGATTATTGACTTCTGATCTATAAGTGAAGGAAAATAGGTCATCATTGTCATCCAGAAATTTCTGTCTCACCGAATTTTTCTAAATGCTAACATGGGTGTCAGAGTTAAGAATTTTAATCTTGTTCCCCCCAACACTGACTTACACAGACAAAGTTTCCTAGTCACTGTGAAAAGAATAACATCTGTTTAGGGCTGTTTTGAGAATTATGAGTTAACAATGTATGTTCAAGTATAGAATTAGCACTCAGAACGCAGTGATGGCTTGGTGTATGAGTTTGCTGCTCTTATGGTAATTATTATTTCACGTCTTATCTTCCTCACAAGTCCCCTTTAGAACGAACAGTGACCCACAGTGTCAATGATTTTATTCCACGCCCCTGCCCAAAGGTCTGCAAAGGGGGACTCGTGCCCATAAGCTCCGGGGTTGATCCCCATCTCATAGGGATGCATTTACCTCTCTCTGTGCTGAGACACCAAGCGGGTCGAGCACACTCCCTGCATTGTTCCCTTGGAATGTCCAGTGTTTGAAACACTTCTTAGGGTTCACTTGGACTCTACTTCCTGAAACCAACAGCACACGAGGGACCAGATGCAGGACACGCTGTTCCATGTGGGGCTCCGAGTGTGGCAGAGCACAGGACAGTTCTCAAGGCCCGGATGGAGTTCCTGAATGCAAAGCTCTTCATTTCGTTGTTTTCTGTTTTATATTCCATGTAGGTGAAATCATGCAATGTTTGTGCTGTTTTGTTTGACTTATTTCACTTAACATAATAATCTCAAGGTTCATCCATGTTGTTGCAAGTAACAATATCTCACCTTTTTAATGACTGAGTAGTATTCCATTGTATATGTACACTGCCTCTTTATCCAATCATCCACTGAAGTGTATTTGGGTGGTTTCCATTGTTTTGGCTATTGTAAATAATGCTTCAGTGAACATAGGGGCACATATATCTTTATGAATAAGTGTTCTCAAATTTGGAGGGGAGATACCCAGAAGAGGGATTGTTAGGTCGTATGGTAGCTCTATTCTTAATTTTTTGAGGAACCTCCATCCTGTTTTCCATGGTGGCTGCACCAGTTTACATTTGTGCCAGCAATGTACAAGGGTTCCCCTTTTCCCACATCCTCTCTTAACACTTGTTACTTCTTGTTATAATGATAATAGCCATTCCAATGGGTGTGAAGAGCTATCTTGTGATTTTGATTTGCATTTCACTTACAGCTAGTGATGTTGAGCAGTTTTTTGTGTATCTGTTGGCTCTGTGTATGTCTTCCGTGGAAAAGTGTTTATCTATGTCCCCTATCCACATTTTAATGAGATTGTTTTTATTGTAGAGTTGTATGGGTTCTTTATTATCTTGGGCATTAGAGTGTTAACAGAGGTATTTTTTGTGAAAATCTTTTCCTGTTACATTGGTTGACTTTTTGTTTGGTTGATTTCTTCTGCGCAGAAGCTTTTTAGTTTGATGTCCCATTTATTCAGTTTTGCTTTTACCTCCATTTCCTTTGGGTCAAGTTCATGCACACCCCTCCAAGACCGTAAGTTCAGTGCCTATGTTTTCTTCTATGTATTTTATTGTTTCAGATCTTATATTCAAGTCTTCAATCCATTTTGAGTTAATTTTTGTATATGGTGTCAGAGAGCAGTGTAGTTTGATTCATTTGCCTGTGGTTTTCAGTTTCCCCAACTAGAGGAAGATGTTGGCCGTGAAACCCTGCGGTTACACCCGCGGCAGTGTCATACGTCTTGTGTTCACCACGTCTCTCGATCACACCATTTTCTCTTGTGCCTGATTTGATCTGGTGTGGTTTGCTGGAGGCTTTAGCCGATGGGCAGCAGGCTGTGCCATGCAGGTGTGTGTAAGTGCACTCTACCAAGGCACAAGGACAAAATCACCGGACCACGCGTTTCTCAGAACCTGCCCCTGTGGTTAAACAGCACGTGACTGTAGTGGAATTGATCAATTTCCTTGAGAGCTCTTGTAATAGTGGCTCATATCTCCTGTTTTACGTCATTGGTTCGGGTGATATTTTCATTTCTCTTTCCTAGGGTGTCTGTCTTTCTCAACTTTTCTAACAGAAACATTTGTATTATCCTCTAAAATTTTAGGGCATTTGAAAAAACAGTTATGAAACCATTATTGAAAGTTAATTAGTGATCATCTGGTAAATGATGATAGTTGCAATGAATACCAGGAAGTTTATAATTTAATTTTTTATCATTATTTGGTGTAGTTTACAAAATGCCATGCAAGTAATTTTTAACATAATCACTTGTCTCCCTTTAAAATATGCATCCTAAAGAGGATGATGGAGGTAAGCAAAAGTAACTTAATGCAGTGACTTGTTTTACTGCAACTAATCTGTTATAAACGGCCACAACCATAGCGCATGCTTTGTCCCAGCTGCCTAGTGGTACTTTGTGCTGTGACTCCACGCGACATCCTCATTCTGGGGCCACTCCACACTCCCTCTCATGGCCAAGCAGCCGGTGTAAGAGTGAGAAGGCTCCTGATATAGTGAAAACCTTGTGTAGAGTCTGCTGTGGCTTTTTTTTTTTTTTAATGTATCAGTTGCGCCCTGGCCAGTTTGTCTCAGCGGTTAGAGTGTCAGCCTGCGGACCAGGGAGTCCCGGGTTCGATTCTGGTCAAGGCATGTACCTCAATTGCAGTTCATCCCCGGCCCTGGTTGGGGTCGTGCAGGTGACAACCAGTCAATGTGCCTCTCTCACATCGATGTTTCTCTCTCTCTCTCTCTCCCTCCCACTCTGAAGATAAATGTAAAAATATCCTCAGGTGAGGATTAAAAAAAAAAAATTAAATGTGTCAGTTGTGTCCTGGTTGGTTTGGCTCAGCAGCTAGAAGGTCGGCCCAGGGACCAAAGAGTCTCAGGTTCGATTCTGGTCAAGGGCATGTAGCTCGGTTGAGGTTTGTTTCTAGCCCTGGTCGGGCTTGTGCAGGAGTCAACCAATGGACGTCTCTCTAATATTGATGTTTCTCTCTCTGTCTCCCCCTCCTACTCTGTCTGAAAATAAAATGGAAAAATATCCTCAGGTGAGGATTAAAAAAAAAAATTAAAATATATCAGTTGCAAACCTTGATGACATATTTATTAATAGTAACACACTCCTTGCTGTGCACTTACAGTTGATTGCTGCACTGTATCGTGGGGTGACATTGTGGTTAGAAGTACTGTTGGTGACACTAGCCCCTCTCAATTTTAATTGAAAGGAGTTCAGTGGCCTTTCGTTTATGAAGAGGAAAGATTTGCAGTCCTGTTTTAGAAAATTGAGAACCTGTTTTTTGCCTTCTTTTTCGGCCTTCCGGCTCTTCTGAATATTGTCTACTATTTTACGCGTCCAGCTAATTCAGAGACACAGTGCTGCCTCTTCTGCCTTTCTCATGGGTCTCGCCTGGAGTTTCCCATGATTCCTTCTGTGAAAGAGGATTTTCTTCACCTTCACGTATGGACCAAGATACTGACCGTCCTGGGCTTGAATCTGAAGTGCAGAGGCCAAGGCGGAGCCTCATGCTCCTCCCACCAGCGAGACATTCCTGGGCGCCTTTTGGTCCCAGCCCCCGAGTCTCCACACAGTCGCAGTCGGCATTGTCTCCACAAAGAGCCTCGATGTGAAAGTGGACCCCTGGGGTGTGCAGAGTGCTGCCTGGAAGGAAGTTAGGGTGAATGTGTCCCAACGTTGATGGAGAAACGTTGATAAGAGGAAACCCTTTTTAAAATCTTGTTTTCTCTTAATCTTCTCTCTCTCCATTTATCTTTATACAGTGCACCCCTCCCCACCCCATGATTATCTTTTTTTTCTGGAGTCTCATGGCATTTTATCAGTATCGCTATTATTTGAATTTTTACGTATTGTAATTAATTTGTTTATACGTATCTGTTGTCTTTGTAGATTCCCCACGTTTCAAGACCTTTGGACACATAGTATATACTTAAACAATTGGGTGAATAAATGAATATCTTTTTTTCTTTTAAGATCTAAGTAAATAAAATATCTACTCAGCACGTGAATATAAACACTTCAGGGAGAGTTTTATGGATGTGTTGAGACATCCTGAGGGACATTCTGGAGGTTCAATACCACGTTTCAAAGGTTGTTCAGTAGATATACACAAATCAGAGCAACACGGCTTTAGTTCTCAGATTCATGGAGAACAGGAGCACTATGTCTATATATGAACAGGGACTTGATGACTCTTGTTGCCTCTTTGGGAAATGATGCCCCTCACCTTTCTTTGAAAATATGAGTGGCCAAGAGAGGAACATAGGAATGATGTTCAGAAAGGCACTTGGGGCACAGAAAACCACGGAGGGAGAGCTGGTGAAACACGCCAGAACCTTTTTGTGTAGAAATCCTAACACGAAGAACTAACCCAACTTTGCTCCAGAAAGGATCTGAGCAGCTCATAAATATCTGAGGTGTGGAGAGGACTAACAGGGAAATAGACCGAATGGAATGGAACTTAGGATGGAACAATGACAAGAAGCTGGGGTAAGCTAGCACATTGAAATGTATTTCAGAAGGACCCGCACTTTTCCAAGGTAGTTGCGCATCTACCCCTCAGATGGAAAGAAAAGAGGAAAATGAGAGCAATTAGTTTTGTATCATCTCCTGTGTCCACGAGATTAAAGGCAATGGTCTCTCAGAGAAGCACTGTTCTAGCCTCTAATATTCAGAAGAAGTGTTTCTAATGGTTCCTAGGAAGAGACTCTGTGTGATGTACTGCAGGTGCAATATCATCAACTCATTTCTAGGTTTAGTCCAACTACTTCAACACACGTTCAACTGAGATCATGCAGCAATTCCAAAGGGCTCAAGAGAGCCTTTGAGAGCAGAGCATTCTGCCTGTCGATGTCTCACGTGATCAAGACATAAAATGTGCTAGTGAAGATTGACTGTGTCTCCCATAGTTAATTCTCCACTTTCTTTCTTCCTGTTTTTTGGTAAAATCTACCTGCATTTCCCCCCTTACATACGTAAGCTAAAGCCTTTGTAGATACCCTTTGTTGGCAATGAGGGGCAGATCCATACTATTAGATAACCAAAGAAGTAGAACCTAGGGTTAGACTCTTTTAGGATAAGGACATGTTTTGCCCTATCTTCATTTGTGGAATGACATGGTATACCAGAAATAAAAACATCTGCCGTTCATTAGACAGGTAATCATAAGTCATGCTATTTAAATGAAGTTTAATGAATTACCTTTTAATTACATTGACTAGGTTTAAAGAAAATTGTTATATACCATTAAAGAAGCTTTAATTTAATAATGTTATGTATATGTGCATTTTAACTTGAAACATGATGGTGTTAGAAAATACTTAATTCATTTTTAGAAGGACTGTTTTGTATTTTAAAGGGTTATTTGATTTATTTTTCAGTCAAAGCAGAGAGCATATCTTACTAATTTTTTTTAGCTCTCTTCTCTCTGCAAATGTAAAATTCACCCAAGTGTGGTTTGTTTTATAAGCTATAAGCTTATTTTGTGATGATAGAGAGATCATTTCTTAACTATATTTGAAATTGCAGGAAGACCAGAATTTTAGATAATGCTCAGAATTTTGTGAGGTAACTTTAACAAAGTAGAACATTTAAAATTTTGTCAGGAATGTTCTTTCTCCTACTCTGCTTCACAGTAATGTTTTCTAAACAACAGTCTAGTTTCTTAATTCTTAAGAAGGAGTGAGTAAGAGTTGGCAGTTTTGAATGTACCTTTGAGAGAGCTCCTACTTTAAAAACAACCATCCTGGCTGATGACTATTTAATGAGGACTTTGTCAGCTGCAGAACCGAGTAGAAGGCAGGGTCTGAAGCACCCACGGACCTGGGGGAGCAGCATGGGTAACAAGTGCCACCGTTTGTACGAGGGGTGATCATTCTGAGGATGTTGGAACTAGGCAGACTTCTCAAATACACCTGCCCAGGGACATTAGACATGAAGCCAGAGATTCTTCCAAAAACTAAAACTAGATAAACCACATGATCCAGCAATTCCATCTCTGGGTGTTTATCCCAAGAAAATGAGACGACCAATTTGAACAGATAGATGTATCCCTATGTTCACGGCAGCATTATTTACAATAGCCAGGATATGGAAGCAACCTAGGTGTTCATCACAGGCAAATGGATGAAGAAGATGTGGCACATGTACATAATGGAATATTATGCAGCAATAAGAAAGAATGAAACCTTGCCATTTGCAACAACATGGATGGATCTAGAGGGTATTATTCTAAATGAATTGTCAGGCAGAGAAAGACAATACTGTTATGGTTTCACTCATATGTGAAATCTAAAAACAAAACAAAACAAAATTAGACTCATAGAAAGAGACCAGAGGGATGGTTACCTTACCAGAAGAGAAGGGATGAGGGGATAGTTGAAAGGGGGAAACTTAGTCAATAATATTGTAATATGTTTACACCGTGACAGATAAATTACTAGAATTAGTGGGGTGATCACCTTGTAAGGTATAAAGTCTTTGAATCTCTATATTGTCAACCTGAAACTATAAGATTCTGTACCAACTATTCTTAACTAAATAATTGTAAATTATAAACTATCTAGAGAGAAAGAGAAGAAAAAACAGAAGCCAGTTACTTTATTTGTTCCCCATGCTGTCTTCTTTCCACTCACATCACTTTTTGCCATTTTTATGCTTCTCTTCACTCTTTCTCTTTCCTCCTCTCTCTCTATTACTTTCATTCTCTATTATTTTCTGTCTCCTTAATATTCATTTTCCTTTCTCCTCCTAATTGTTCTTCCATTTTCCATTTATTTTTGCACAGTCACTCTGTACCTCTCGTTCATCTTAAAGCCTTGACCCTCCACAACTTCTGTAACTCAGCTCATGATTTTGAAGAAAGTATGTCGACCCCTTTCTCTTAGCTGTTGTAACATGCTGATCCAAGGAAATAAAAGTCTAGCGAAAGGGGTGGGGATGGGAGAGTTAATTCAGTCCGGGTCGCCATTGGATTTAACAGGGAGACTGAGAGTTCAGGTGTAGTGCCCAGAATGTCGACGGATACATCTTAGTCATTCACTGTTCTGGTTAACCACAAACATTCTTATTTACCATGAGAGGCTGGAGGTCTGGGGCCATAGGAAAAGCGAGGACACGTATGGACTCCTAATGTAAAGAAATGTGTGTCTTCCCCCAGGAGGTCCTCTGGGTTCTTCTTGTATTGTCTAAGTAGAAAGAAAGAGGAAGAGAAAATTTTCTACATCTGTTCAAATCCCCAGGATCTTAGCTCTGGTCTCCGAAGTTTGGATTTGCTTTAATATTACCTATTGGCCAAGCTGTGATGTTGAAGATATATATTCAAAATCGGCTAACTCTGGTGTTGAGTTCAGAGTATAGATTTGTGAGTAAAAGAGAGGAGAATTCCTTTTTCATTAACTGAGTGAAATACAGTATTTGTCTGGGAAAATGGTTGTATTTTAAGGCAATTGTTCATACTCTATTATCACAGTTACACCTAGTGTGGACTAATTCATGCTCTTCTCATTGACTTTTGTTTTGAAAGATACACTCTTAGCTATGGTGCAGGAAGTAGCTAGCGGCAAAGTGGTGTCTATGTCACCTGTTATAAAGTCCTTCCATCCTGTTCCTCCACCTAAGACACTCACTCTTCACGGTGACACCCACTTCCCTGGTCCGATCATTCTTTTTTTTGATATGTTTTTATTGATTTCAGAGTGAGGAAGGGAGAGGGAGAGAAAGACAGAAACATTGATGATGAGGGAAACATCGACTGGCTGCCTCTTGCTACTGGGGATGGAGCCCGCAACCCGAGCATTTGGCCTGACTGGGAATTGAACTGGAGACTTCTGGTGGACAGGTCACTGCTCAAGCCCTGAGCCACACCAGCCAGCCCCGATTATTCTTTTGATCACTTCTTTTATTCCCTCCTATAATTACTCACATTTTAAACACCTGCTGTGTGCCAGACACTATTCTAGAAACTGGGGGTACGATAAGGAAGACGGTGTCCTCTTGCTTAAAGAGAAAATCCTGGACTTGGTTACCCCTTTGATTTTTTAGCAGGAAGTATTGGAAGTCTCAGACTCCCAAGTGACGGACTAAAATATCGAAATCCCTGATTGCTCAGTTCCTCCTGGTGATGGTGCTCATTATCCCTCATTGAAATCAGAAGGTAATTTGTCAATAGTTAGACAAGGCACCTGCGATCCCATCTTTCAACAATGGTGAGTTGAGCCAAGGCAGTGTGGCTCAGTGGTTGAGTGTGGACCCATGGACCAAGAGGTCATGGGTTTGATTCCTGGTCAGGGCATATGCCCGAGTTGTGGGCTTCGTCCCCAGTGGAGGGTGTGCTGGAGGCAGCCAATCACTGTTTCTCTCTCATTGATGTTTCTATCTCTCCCTCTTCCTTCCACTCTCTCTAAAAGTCAATAAAAACATATTAACAAAAAAAGATTGGTGAGTTGGATTCTGTTGTTCAGACTCGAGCTATGTAAATCATATAAAAAGTGAATGTCTTAGCAGGTATTTTCTGGCACAAAATAGAAACTAGCAATTGAGAAAAGTAATTATGGTTGATATGTCAAGAAGGGCATAGGCCTATTCCAATTTTACAAGTAACTGGTGACATGAGTGTTGGTCCTTATATGGGTTCTATAGACGGCAGAGCAGCCCTGTGCTCAATACAAAAGTATACTTGGAATATAAACTGGGTGTTTGGGGTAATTATGGTTAAAAGTATATTTTAGTTAGCTTTATTTCCTGATCAAAGAAAGAAGAAAGTTTGTTCTTTAATATACTGACTCTCTTCTTCCTTTCTAACCCAGAATCTCAGTCTGCTGTTTTGGAAACTCTGAGAAATTGTTCAGACGCTGTTCAGCAGGTAAGAAGAGCTTATTAGGATGTCGAATCCCGTTCCCTCTTTTTTGTCTTAAAATCGTGACGGACCCCAATTTGTTTTCCCGTCTGCCCAGCTAGCTAGGCCACCCTTAGTTCACTGGGTGGGCAGGGGAATTCTGTTTGGTGGAAGGGGATGCTTTCTTCCATTTAGACTTTGCAAAGAAAATCAGTTTTGACGTGGAACTGAGAACAAACTTCTCAGAAGCTGCATCATTGTATATCCAGCCAAAGAGCTGCACCTCCAGCAGGAAATGGTGGCCCCCCAGGAAATGTCACAGGGCCAGACTCATCATCACATGGATAGGATTTAAAAAAATCTGTTAGGGCTTTTCTAAAATCAATTAATATTCTTGACTTGCTTTGGTGGATGGAACATTAATTAGTGTCTAATTTTCATAGACACTTTTTTTTTGGTTACTGAAAAACCAAATGTTATGTCTATTTTCTTATACCAAAATGGACTTAAAAAAAATAACTTCAAGAAAGGAAACGCTTACATACAATAGTAAAAGTGGATAGCGATTGCTCTTTTGGACATAGAGCCATTCAAAAATTTATTTATACATTCTCCCAACTATGCTTTTGAAACTAAGTTAGCATTAGACATTACTAAGTAATTACTAAGGAAGAAGAATGTTCTCTCGAGTGTGGTCTGGCAGAAAGCGAGAAGACTCATACTGGGGTCTGGGCTTTGTTCTCTATCTAGTTAGTATGTACAACGCACATAGGCCTTTTGGGACACAGTGTTCTCTGCAAAGTGAAAGACTTGGATGATTTCTGAGACTTTTCCAAGGATGAAATGATTTCCCTTGTAAAAAGCAGCAGTCCTGCATCATACGTGAAAGTTGTGCTCCCCCTGGAGGAGTAATGAGGATATAACATTGGTCAGGAACTTCGATTATAATTCACTGGAACTTTTCAAAAATATAACTAGGTTGATCATTATCCTAAGAGTAAAGATATTATGCTCTTAAGGATAGTATTGTAAAACAGTCTCCCAACTTCTTTTTTTTTTTATCCTCATCTGAGGAGACTTTCATGTTTTGTTCAGATAATGTGGGAGGGAGAGAGAGAGAGAAACATCAACGTGAAAGGGACACATTGAGTGGCTGCCACCCACATGACCCAGGGCCAGGGACAAACCGCAACCGAGGTACATGCCCTTAGCGGGAATCGAGCCCGGGTCTCTCTGGACCGCAGGCTGACGCTCTAACCTCTGAGCCAAACCGGCCAGGGCCCAGCTTCTTTTTTTATCAGAGCAGAGACCTGTATCAGGTAGGGGAACTTGGAGGGGTGTGGTGCACTCTGCTGACAGCAATTTAATTTCTAATGGTTAACCAGTAGTGAATAAGAAGAAAGAGAAAAAGAGGTAAAAATAAATGAACAAATACAGCCAGAAATAATTAAGAAAAATGGTCCCCTCAAAATATTCTCTGAATTGTTTTTTTTTTTTTTTACAGCTTACAAATTTTTATTTTGAGGCAGAACTAAATAGTGATTTGAGATACTATATTAGATTTTTCTAAATTCTTATTTCCAAGGCATATCTTACTGAATTCTTTGTTATACACAATCATGCATAAGAAAGCCTGGACAAAAATAGTCCGTACTATCAGTAACGATAAAACACGTACAACGTTGCTCTCTATATTAAGGTTCCAGCTGTAAATTTCATGTATATATCCGTTTGTATAAAATGATAGTGATTTTCTACTTTTCTTGAGCTGTGAGCCATGGCAAGATGTATTGTCACAAGCAGAAACCTCGGTGAGCCGAGTGATTGTAAAACCTCCGATGTTACAGCCTAGAAACTCAAGGGTGAAATCGATGGATTCATGTCGCGCCTTCTTTTCTTGTTGCCAGCGAAATGTCTGGAAGCCAGAAAACATAATTAACTAATTGAGAGGTAAAAATTTTGTGACTCATTGAGGTTAAGCCCCCAGCAAAGACCTTACTTGCTTTTGGAATTATTGACCCTTTGTCATAAGTTTATTTCTTGGACCAGTTCTTTCTTAGATATGTGGATGTTTTATAAGAGTCTACACTAATAAAAGTGACATAGAAAATTAGGATTGATTACCAGTCTACTGTACACCTGTATTTTTTTTTTTTTACTGTATTATCTTATGCATTTCTTATAATAATTCTTTAAAGTAACTATTATAATTTCTATTTAACTGATAAAGAAATGATGTTTATAAAAGTTAAAGTTGTTTAATGTCACTAAAGTGATAAAGGGTAAGAGGGAGTATTTGAACATAGCTCTGTTCGATCTTCTACCTCAAGTTCTCTTCACTAGGATAAAAACTATACTTTTATCTATATTTTAACTATATTTTTACCATGGGTGATTGTCCTATGGCTGTTTAAGACTAGGTCATGCCAAAGTCATCAGGTGGATGAGACGGGGTCGATTTTATTATTTTCCCTGCTTCACTGCTCAATTAAAAAATTACGATGGTTATTTTTCCTGTGATTCCCCTTGCTGTTCTCTTCTTAGTCACTAGATGGCAGCTCTGTACCTCTGTAAATGACTCCTGCGGAGGGAAGGCGTGGGTGAGCCCCTTGGCTGTGTGAAGGGGAACAGAGCTTGCCTGGTCCCTCCCAGGCGCGGCTCCTGGGGCAGTGATGCTATCTCGGGGTCCCGCTTAGTCAGCGGCGTCGGCAGGGCCCACAGCACCCTCTGTTTCTCTTCAGCTGTGAGTGCGAGCACCTGTTCTCCGGGTCTGCAAACACTGGAATTCACTGAATGAGTTTTGACTGTTACTCTCTCCCTGGAGTTAATAATTCAGAGAGCTCCACATCCCTAGAAAAAACACATGACTCATGAAGCCTTTGTCAGCTACAAGGAGCAGGAGCCGGTGGGGCTGCCCGAGAGTCTGATGCTCGCAGCAGACGCAGCTGGGGACCCGCTCCTGAGAGTCCTGGGGATGGCCACGGAACCGGGAAGCTGGCAGGAAACTGTGGTCTCCAGCCCCCCCTTGCTGATGGTTCTCATGGCCGGTAATACCCGCCGGACGTCTGCCGTCCGAAGAACTAGCCTGCACAACTGAAATAGGACTGCCTTTCCGTTCAGATCTTTACTCTTTGGTATTTGAAATACTATTTAAACTGTAAATACCTTTCCATTCTACAGTATATAAATAGCCAATTAATCACCAATTACATTTCCTCTAGAAACATTTGTTTCTCATTAAAGATTAATATGTGGTAGAAAAACTGGTTACTACCCAGTTTTACCCCTTTTTTTTTTTTTTTGCTTTTGAAATTATATATAAAAGTTGTGGTTTGAAGTATTCTCTTAAAACTCCTGATATCTTTTCTAATGTAGATGGGCTAGTTGATAGGTAAACAGAATAAGCTTTGCTCTTTAAACACACTAGCTTCAGGTAAGAAGTGATAATATATCAGGCAATTGGAAGTTGGATCTCTACACATTACGGTATTTATTCACTGTGAACAGCCAGGTACATCACAAAATGCTGGATAATGAAAAGAAATACAGCAACATTGCAATGCTAGCCCTCTAACCCCATATGTTGCATAGCTTATATGCAAATAAATTATTAAAGGTCAGAAAAATGCTTGTGATTTGAGGTAACCGGCGAAATCCTATCTCAGTCCGGTTTTCATCTCTTTTGAAATTGGGTTAGAACTGTCCGTTAGAACCCTACCCCGCCCAGCCCTCCCCGGACTCGGCAGTGCCCAGTCTGCCTGCAGACTTAGATGAGGACTTGAACATTCTTTTCCATTGCTTCTCCATAAAGTATCTGTTATAGTGCCCTTTTTACAGTGATCACTTAATATAATTTATTATTAGTTTCAGAAACATCTTTATTTGGGAATAAATCAAGGAAACAGATGTGAATAGTGCGGAGTGACCCAGGTGATGGTGTCTGGTGGATTAGTCGCATGTGTCTTGTTGTAGAAAAGTTTAAAAAGTAAAAGAAGTATTAGCCAGATTTGAAAAAAAAGAAAGGTGTTGGGTGGCCACAGTTCTGAAGGAATAATGATAGAGGCTTATAAAAACAGGAAGCCACTTGAATGGGGTTGGAATGCATTAAGACACATAAAAAGGCTGGGGGAAAAATACATTGTTTAATGGAAGTTCTTTCTAAACTTTAAGGCAACTGCTCTGGCCAGTTTGGCCCAGCGGTTAGAGCGTTGGCCCGTGGACCAGAAAGTCCCGTTTGGTTCCTGCTAAGGGCACGTACCTCGGTTGCAGTTTGTTCCCGGGCCCGGCTGGGGTCTGTGGGCAGCGACCAGTCTGTGTGTCTCTCTCACGTCGACGTTTCTAACCCCCTGCCCCCCGCCCCCCGCTTTATCTGAAGATAAAAATGCAGAAAACCCCACAAAACCATATTTTAACTTTAAGGCAAAAAGTACTATGGATTTACATGGTAATTATGAACCCACAAGAGAGCAATTAACAAGACACAAAAGCAATTAAAATATAAACCAGAGTAAGAAAAATAGGGGTTAAAGGACAGAGGGAGAGAGAGGGAGTCAGAGAACAAGGGTGAGTCATCCTTGGGGCTCATGTCAGAGTCTGATCCTTCCTCGGGGTTAAGTGAGCACTCTGCCCCCCGAGTCTGCGAAGGGCAAGGTAAGAGGGGCTGGGAAGGGGAGACGGCAAGGATCCCCTGGTGGAGGCGCTGGGCGTCATGTTGGCAAGGTGTTTATCGTGATATGTCAAGGGGAGGAAAGGATTTTTCTGGAAAGTATTGTTTTCATTTTATGGAAACTCCAATGAGCTCAGAGAAAAATTTAGACATTTTAGCATTAGAATTAAAGAAAAGAGAGAGAAACAGTTTTACCAGCTTATGAACAAAAACAAATTGTTACAAAACTGTTACAATTTGAGATGAGAAACCGAAGAAGGAATTAGGCGCAGTTTCCAGCAGAGCGGTGGGGCTTGGCGATGAAATGACACTGTCTTTGCTCTGTTGAGTGTCACGTGGTGTGGCCCTCGTGTGTGCTGGG